GGCATATGACGTGGAACTCTCGGAGTGTTTTGGTGAGAAAAATTCCAGAAGTTCGCTTAAGGCCTATCACGTGGGAAGTCTTTGGATTGTCCAGGCCTATATGTACGGAGGACCTCGACGCCAATCTGAGATGTGCTTGCGGCAAGCGCAAATCCCTTCTACATCCTTCTCCCGGCCTAAGGATTCACGACCATGGAGTTCTATTTAAAGCGTTGCACTTGCTGAGTGCTATCCTGGATACTCTTTCTTATTGTTCCCGTCAGGAGAACGAGGTCCGCCCCGCCTTACGTGGACCATAGAAGTCAGCATTATATACGCTGCGGTTGGGTTCTTGTAAGCAGTGTGGTATTGTCCAAGGGGAACTCACGTCGACAATGTTGTAAGAATAGGCTGCTTTTCAACTGGGAGTTTTAAATATGGATTCTTTTGGGGCGTTCTTCCTTTCTTTGTTGTGTACCACCGTATGCAATCACGGCTGATCACGGCTGACACCAGTTGTTCTGCGACTGTGACATAGCTACGCTTCTTAGCTAGCGACGGCAGTCTCTGCCTTGCTTTTTGGTTTTCTTTCTTTAACAAGAATTCTTTCTCTTACTGTGATTCATCTTATTTATAAGGAAAGAGCGCAGTTGATAGCAGCCTTTACTATACCACTTTGAACTGCTTTCTGGGGCTGTCTTATATATAACTCCTTAAATTGGCACGTCGCCGTACCCCATGGTAGGTCCCAGGGCGGCAGGCTCCGCTTGCCACCCGCCCGATGTTAGTAAATATAACAGTAACAGTTTATTGCTTGAGCCGCCCTTCCATCAACACCCCTCGTATGCAGGAACTCCTGTTATTTTATAGTGTTTTAGAGAGAAGGAAGGAATACTCGTACCCTACAGTTACGTCTCCCGGGTTCCTGCTCGTCTCAATTCTTCTTCACTTACCTCACTCACCTTACGTTTTTCACCCCACTTAAATTCTACACCCAGATCTATACCCAGACTCTGCATCCAAAATCTGCATTGAGATTCCTATCGTCGGATTCCATGTGAAGGGTTTGTAAGTGGGTAGGGCGTAACCGTCGGTTACCTTGAACTTCATTTGTAAAGAAACCGCGACTTGGCGCAGCCAAGTTGGCATCAGAGACCCGGGACACCCACCCGGGACACCCACCCGGGACACTCAGGGACCCGGGATCCTTACTTTTGTTCTTATATAATCGATATAAAATGAACCACAGATCATATCGTACATTCTTTTGTATAAGAAGATGAACCGTATTAGTTTTCATAGTTATCAATTGATATTATGCTCATAACATATTTTAATTCTATTATTGTGTTGTGCTGAAGTAGTGAAAGTGGTACTTTTGGTGTACTTTTTCATAGTATGGTCCGTGCGCTGACTAAGCGAAAGCTATGCGCCAAAGCTCTTCAAACGGCTTTTGATTTCGACTCCGGAGACGATGAAGAGGAGAGCGATGAAGAGGATCCAAAATGGCTCAGCGGCCTCTGATGATACCGATTCTGAACTTGATGATGGCGTTGAGGGTCAAATGAGGAGGGAAGGTACGATGGGTTACGATAATTATTAATTGTGTATATGTCAGAATTGCAGTGTAGATTCTAGGAAAAGCGAGGATCTCGAAAATCAGACTTCCATCAAAACCCTTTCAAAATACCTTTTCTACACCACAAACTTTTCATTCAATAATTATTTCCATTTGCAATACAATAGATTCGATTATTTCCTGCCGATCTAGAAAACGTTTTTGTTGTAATTGTCAAGATATCTGATCCGGCCAAGTCAAATGTCATTTTTTAGGACAGTTCTTGGCTATGTTTTCCGCCGTGACTACCGTACCGGTACTGCTACCTACGTCCCACGCCAGCGGCCGCTCCCGCCACGGAAAGTCGGCACAACTGCAGCGCCCTTGTAATTGCCAGCAAGTGCAGCCCTACTCGATTCTGCCGCGCACCATTGAGTTCGGGATTCTTTCAATCCACACCACCACCACCACAACCAGTATCACCACAACCATCACAATCACCATAACTACAACAACCACAACAACCACGCGTGCTAACCTCTATCTCCCCCCCTTTGTTCTCTTCATTTGATGCGATTATTGATCGATTGTTTAAAGTGATCAGACGCGCTGACTTCCAGGCTCCCTGACTTCCAGGCTCCTCTCCCTCCAACCTCGTAAGCTGACTTCCCTCTCCCTTTAACCACGCGCGCCAACTCCCAACCACTAAAAACCTCTCGTTCTCTTCCTTTGCTGCGAATCTATTACTCACAGTGATCGATCAGACGTGCTGACTTTCAAGCTCTTTCTCCTTCTCCCTTACAAGCAGATCTCCAGGCTCCCTCTCCCTCCAACCTCACGGTCCGACATCATCGACCTCACGGAAATCATCCCTCTCCTTCACACGCTAACCTCCAGGCTCCTCTCATTCAAACCTCACGATCCGAAATCATTGATATCACCTTACGAGCTGACCTTCAAGCTCCCTCTCCCTCCTTACGTTCCGATACCATCGACATCACGGACATCACCTCACCAGCTGGACGAGGCACAAGGGGTCTAAGGGGGAGGATGCCCTATATACAAGATATCATAAGCTGGAGGATCACAGGGGGTTTAAAGGGGAGGATGCCCCTTATACTTTTGGCTTTCTATTGAGTGATCCCTCGATTGATTGATCTTTCGATTGATTGATCTCTCGGTTAATTGATCTCTCGGTTGAGTGATCCCTCGATTGAGTGATCTCTCGATTGAGTGATCC